CTCTATACCATGTGAAGAATGAGGAATGAATGAACTAGCAAGCACCTGGGTACAAGTAGGAAAACCTAGAAATGTTGTACCCCATATAGTCTACCCCACTACAGCCTACATAGACTACAGCATATAAGTTTGACATGATGCTGGTATCCCGTGCAGTCGAACGACGGTAGAGATGAAGAGGCGGGCTGTTTCTTCGGCTGTGATTGATTTTTTGCAGGCTGCGAAGTGTGCCATTTTCGTCAGTCGATCGACGACGACCAGGATCGCGTCATTTCCACTCGCCCCGGCCGGTAACCCCGTGACGAAGTCCATCGTCACCTGCTGCCAAGCACGCTATGGAGGTGGGATTGGCTGCAACTGTCCCGCCGGCCGCTTCCGTGTTGACTTCATGATCTGGCAAGTGGGACACGATGCCACGTGTCGCTGCACGTCGGTCAACATTTCGGGCCAGTAATAATACCGCTGCAGCTGCTGCCGTGTTTTCTCTACCCCGAAATGTCCCGAGGTAACCCCGTCGTGTGCCTCCTGTAATAGTAATTCCCGTAGCAGTGTGTACCCTGGTACCCAGATGCGGTCGGTCCCGACTTTTACGTAATAGACTCCCTTGGCTGCTGCGAACTGCTGCGAATTTCCTCCTGTGAAGAATGGGTCCGTTTGATATCCGTGGGTAAATAGTCCTGTCAGTAGCGGGCTGGTCTGGGCGAGTAGTATCGCGTGGATCTGGGCAGTGGGGCGGGTCAGTGCGTCGGCGATGTTCGAGGCTCCTTTTTTATAGGTGACTGTGTAGTGGAAGTTTGACTCGAGGAAATCGAGCCACCGAATCTGTCGTGGGTTGAGGTGGGGCTGTGCGCGGAGGTACTGTAGTGATCGGTGGTCTGTCCGTACTATCACGTCTGCGCCGGTCAAGTAGCAGCGCCACACTTTGAACGCATGCACGATCGCGAGCATTTCGCGGTCGTGTATCGGGTAATTTCGCTCGTATGCGATGGGCTGTAGGCCGTTGCCGAAGTCCTGTAGCAGTACGGCACCAATGGCGATGTCGCTTGCGTCTGTAACAACCTCGAAGGGGCGGTGTGGGTCGGCGATGCGCAGGACGGGCGGTGAACAGAGAACATTTTTCAGGGCAGAGAAGGCAGCATGCTCTTTCTCCCCCCACGTAAAAACGACCCCCTTTCGCAGTAAATCCGTCAGCGGGGCGGTCAACTGTGCCATGTCGGGGACGAACCGACGAACATAATTAACGAACCCTAAAAAACTCTGCAGTTCCGTGATGTTCGTCGGGGGACGCCATGCTTTTACCGTATCCAGCTTCTTTGGGTCGATTTCAACTCCAGCCTCCGAAATAACGTGCCCCAAAAATTCTAGCCTGTCCCGAAAAAACTCGCACTTAGAGCCCTTGGTGAGTAACCGATGTTCCTCTAAAACTTTAAATACTGCTTCGAGATCCGCTAAGTGCTGCTGCGTGTCGCGACTGTAGACGAGGATGTCGTCGAGGTAAACTATCACGCATTTATCTAAGAGTGGCCTAAACGCCTCGTTCATGGTCATCTGAAATGTTGTGGGCGCGTTGGTCAGCCCGAAAGGCATCACCGTGTACTCAAACGACCCGTACCTAGTCCTAAATGCTGTCTTGGCGCAGTCCGATGGTTCGACCCGAATCTGATGGTAACCCCCCCGTAAGTCTATTTTCGAAAACACCCGTGCTGTTCGCAGTTGGTCGATCAGTTCGTCGGCGCGGGGAATGGGGTACCGCGACTTGACTGTTACCCTGTTGAGCGCTTAGTAATCGATGCACATGCGAAACCCTCCGTCTTTTTTCGGTGTGAACAGTATCGGTGCGGCGAACGGTGACGAACTTGGTCGAATAAACTGCTTCTCTAACAAATAATCTAACTGCTTCCTCAGTTCGTCGAGCTCGGGCTGTGTCAGTCTGAACTGGCGCTGTACAGTTGGCTGTGCCCCCGGTTCTAACTCGATCCTATGATCATGCGCCCGCTGAGGTGGCAGCCCTTCGGGTAATTTGTCTGGAAAAATCCCCGGGTACCGTTTCAACAGTTCCTGTAGTTCGGGCGGTACTGCTGCCAACAGTTTCTGAAAATCGCTCGGCTGCTCCGCTTCTCCTACTAATGCTATATCTACTGCGTACACGTCAGCTCCAGCGGCGACAACCCGTTTCATCGTGATGGCGTTGACGTGGACCGTTGAAGACTCGGGCGACTGCCAGCGAGGTAGCATGACCCAGTTACAGCTACTTCGCACAGTGCAGCTACCCGTCGTCCAGTCGATTCGTGGGTTGTACCGTCGTAGCCAATCACGTCCCAGTAAAACATCATGCCCATCCAATGTCGTCGCTAGCATTTCCTGTGTAAACCCGAAGTTTCCCCCGCAGCGAACTTTTACTCTCTCCACCTTCTCCCGTATGGCCAGCGGCGTGCCATCAACTAAGCGTGCGTCAATCTCAGGTAAGCAGCGGCTAAGTGTCAGTTGTAATTTTAGCGCAGTTGCGGTATTAACTAAACTGTGGCTTGCTCCTCCGTCAATAAAAATCTTCACTGCTGCTCCCTGTATTTTCCCGTGGATCAGTACTGGGCAATCCGTCGTTGTACCCTCCTTATTCATCCGAGCCCGATCGATGACGTGAATCGGTACTGTGACTCGGTGAGGGTCGGTGCGGTTGGGCGAGCAGGCAGTCTCGTCAGTAGTTGGCCCAACTTCTACTGACTGCTGGCGTTTCCCTGCCTCTGAGACTCCCTCCCCTGCTCTGCTCCGCGGCGCCTTAGCTCCTCTGGGCATTCGCTCTTGCGATGGCCCGGCCTGTTGCAAGCAAAGCAGCGCCCCTTAAACGGTGCGGCAGCTGCATTCGTTGCAACAGCGTTTACAGTGGCGTGCTCGATCGGTCCCCGAGGTTGATGTCCGTAGTAGGACCCCGGTCTCGGTCGGCGTAGAATGTCGATTTTCTCGGCGAGCGCGAGAATCTCGTTGAAGTTTGAGAGTCCGCGCAGCATGATTTCGTGCGAGATATCCGGCGTCAGCCCTCCGACGTAACGGTCCACCCGCTCCGCTTCGTGCATGTAGCCGACCTGCTCGCAAAGTGCGAGAAAACCGCTCGTGTAATCTTGAACCGACCCGAGCTGCCGCCAAGTGCGCAATCTCTGACGCGCCGAAATAGAAGCCGCGATCGGCTCGAAGCGCGCCCGAAGCCCTGCGCACCACGCATCCCACGTGCTGTATTGGGCGGTCTCGCAGAATGAACTCCAGGTGACAGCTGGACCCGTGGGCCCTTCCTCTTGCGACGGTGGCTCGTAGGCGCGTGGCGACGTCACGATGACTCGCCACCAGTCCATGGCGGGGCCCCTTAACAGCGAAACGGCATACCGAATCGTCACTGCGTCCGACTCGACGTAATTCGCGTCGAAGAAGACGTTCATCGTGAAAACCCACGATTGAACCGTCGGACCTCCACGCTGGCTCGGGTCGAAACAGGGCGGGCGTTGCGGCTTGAGTGGCATTGGTGCCATGATGGCCTGTTCGCCACTTGTCGCCGCGAACTCCACGTGCCGACGGGCTTCGCGAGGCTCCCGCGGGCTTGGCGCGCTCCTGTTTCCTCCCATGCCAGGCATTGGTTGGGCGGCGCTATCACTGGCTGCGCCCGAGCGCTGTCCCACGCTGTCGTGTTGTGTTGGTGTCCCGGACGAGATGACGATTGGCTCGTCCGATTGTGCAGGTGCATTTGTTGGTGCGTGTGGTGCTGCTGGAGTGTTCACCGTTGATTGCTGACGCGCGGAGTCACGTTCCGCTGTGAGCATCGCAATTTCGAGCGCCGAATCTTCGAGTTGGCGCACCAGACGGTCGAGCTGCTCCTGCGTCAATGTGGCGAGCGTGAATTCGGCCATGGCGGGGGTGTCGGGCGAGCTCAGCGAGAGCCTCAGTCGTGGCCGTGCGTGCTTACGAGAGAGCACTACGAGCGGCGGTGATGTGTCGCTGAGAGACGTCTACCCCCCCCAAAAAATTGAGATAGTGGGGAAGCGAAGGTGTGGGTGCGGTCCGAGAAGAGATCGTAGGCTCTGAATACCAAGTGTTACGAGTGCAATTGAGTGAACGAACGAGAATTGCACTATCGAAGCAAGAGTACAATGAGCGAAGGCATGAGCGAAGAATATATAGCGAAACTACAGTGGTAACGGTAATGGACTGTGGTTGTCGTGCGACGGGCCTGGGACTGAGGTTGGGAAAAGTGTCGAAGCGGAGGCCCGGAGCGCGGGTTACCCGCCGAGCCGTGAGGTCGGGGTGCGACGTGCGAAGGTGGCGGGCGGATTGTCGATGCGAGGATTGCGAGTGGTAACGGTGCTGACTGTGGTGCTACAGTGATGTACGCGTTGAGCAGGGACGCGAAGTAAGGAAAAAGAGATTTTCCTTACAGCAATCGAACAATGAGTAAATTATTGTACACAACAATTATTCTTGGATGCCGATATGTTGCACAAGTAGAGGCGTGCAGATTTGGGTTTACTTATTAGTTATAACAATGGTAAAGGGGGGCTACGAGCTGTATAGACCCAATGGAAGAATGCAAGCATGTGTGGATTGGCGAAGAGTTTGCCCAAGTGATGGGGCAGGGATTCGACTAGGCTGTCTGTAAAACAGTTTTACGCATCAAGTGCGCACAACACAACTTACACAACAGCTACCGTACATTGCAATCGGCTTTTCTCTTGGCCAGGCAGGTCTATTATCTATACATAGCTGTTCACGAATGGCATACCGTAGGTTTACCCCTGCACCCTGCACTCAACACAGCATCCGCCCAGCAGCACCACCATCCCTACTGGCAGCAGCAGCAGCCGTGGTGCCACCCGGAGAGGGTTGCTTCTGTGGCGACGAGGACCATGGGCTTGTGGGGTGGCACTGAAGGGCTAGTCACACATAAGGTAACCCTTGCGTTCCCTGCATCCGACACAATATCCTCCCCGCTCCCGCCCCCGTTCCAGCATCATCCCTCCCTACTTGGCAGCAGCAGCAGCTGCACCAGGAGGGGGTCTCTGCCTGCCATCGGGAATGGCGATGAGAACCATGGGCTTGTGCGGCCTCACGAGCGGCTGGTCACAGACGTAGTAGCCCTTGCGCTCCAGCTGTATGATGTCCCCCCGCTGCAGGTTGCGCATGTTGGCGTCTCCCACCGCCGCCTCCTCCCACCGCGTGCGCGGGTTGAGTGCCGCCAGGAAGTCATCGCCCTCATCCAACTGGGAGATGCACAGAGGGAGGGAGCGATCGAGGTGGGTTAGTGGGGAGAGAGGGATGGAAGTGAGGGAGAGAGGGAGGAGAGGGAGAGGGAAATGTCACCTTACATGCTTCCTAACCACCGCACCTTCCTCTTGCAACTATCCCACCTTCTTCATAACTACCGCACCACTTTCGTAACCACAGCACCGGCACACCTTCTCCTCTTGGTGATGAGGTAGTCCAGCTCCACGAGAGAGGTGGTGGGAGAGAGAGAGAGAGAGAGAGAGAGAGAGAGAGAGAGAGAGAGAGAGAGAGAGAGAGAGAGAGAGAGAGAGAGGAGAGGGGATTCGTCACCGTACCACCGCACCTCCTTTGTAACCACCATGCAGCAGGTCGCACCTTCTTGCTGATGAGGTAGTCCAGCTCCACGAGAGTAAGAGGCACGAGCTCATCACTTCATGTCGCACCGCACCTTATCTGTAACCACCGTACCACCACACCATCCCACCAGCGCACCTTCTTCTTGGTGATGAGGTAGTCCAGCTCCACGAGGGTGAGAGGCACGAGCTCATCGCTGTCTGCCAGCCACGTCAGCTTCAGCTTTGTCGTCTTCACCGACCCCTCCAGATGCAGCACCCCCTCCATCGCCTCCACCTCCCCCTCGCCCTCCCCTCCCCCCTCCTTCGCTCCCCCTTCCCCCTCCCCCCCCTCCCGCATGGTCTTGCGCTGCACAATGGCATTCCCCCAGTCCATGAGAGTCACCTCCTCGCCCTCTTTGATCACGCGTGCGTCTGCCCCCTCCAGCCACACGCGCCGGGAGAACACCGTCGCCTTCATGCCCGCAGGGGGGTGCTTCTTGTGCCGCGGCAGCACGCGCACAAAGGGGGCTTCGGGCCCGTTGGTGAGGGTGAGCGGCACGCGGGCGGCGAGGAGGATGGCGGTGTGGCGCGGACACACAGGGTCGATCAGTTTCTTGTTGATCGTCCATAGCTTGTCCATCTCCATTAGGTTCAGGTTCTTGGACGCTCCCTGGAAGGGTGAGAGGCAGCGAGCAACGAAGTGAGAAAGTGACAAGGATCCATCACGCCATCGCACATCGTCCACAGCTTGTCCATCTCCATCAGGTTCAGGTTCTTAGATGCTCCCTGCCAGGGGAAGGTGGATGGGGAGGAAGGGGTTGAGGGGGGGACAAGAGGCGAGGGAGGGAGTGAGGGAAAGAGACGGATGTGCCACTCCTTGTTGATCGTCCACAACTTGTCCATCTCCGTCAGGGTCAGGTTCTTGGATGCACCCTGGGAAGGGGAGGAGATGAGGGAAAGAGCGAGTGAAGCATGGAGTGAGGGAACAAGAACGAACTATCACCCCATCACCGATCATCCACAGCGCATCTAGCTCCATCAAGTTCAACCAGTTAGCTGGGGTGAGGCGAACAGGGAGGAGAGCCACAAGGAGAGGCGATGAATCACCCCTTCATTTTAGAACCCCAAATCAGCCCACCCTTCTCCATGAACTCACGTTCGTGAGCACGCGCTTGGGAGCGGGAGAAGGAACCACACGTAACTGCTTGAATTGGCTCAGAGACCACACATGCAACTAGGGGTGAGCAAAATCACGAACGCCTGTTCGGTTCGCCTCGAACACGTTCGAGGCAAACCGAACAGGCTTTTTTTTTGACCTTAAGTGTTCGGGGCGAACATGTTCGATGTTCGCCCGAACATGTTCGTGTTCGGGGCGCTGCTGCAATTTGCCCCGCGTCGAACACGAACGTGTTCGAGGTTCGCTCGAACACGCCTTCACAGGCGAACACCGAACACCCTTTTTGGCTAAAAGTGTTCGCCGAACAGAACACTGTTCAGTTCGGCGAACGGCTGTGTTCGTGCAGGGGCGAACACAAACACGTTCGTGTTCGCCCCTTGCTCACCCCTACATGCAACCATGATTCATGAAATCTCAACTCGTCGCCTCACCACTCGAAATGCAAGATCACATACGAACTGGGTCTCAGCAGTTTATCTGCCTTACCACCCGCACAATTTATTTGTGCTCCTTGCTGCAAGTCCTTCCGGTCAGTAATACAGTACATGCTATGCTGCAAAGTGACAAGGCTTGCGTGGCACCTGAAGTCTCAATCGACACATAGTGAAGCGGGCCCACCTTTGCCCCCTGCCTTAAAGCCCACTTCAAGCCCACTTCAAGCCCACTTCAAGCCCACTTCAAGCCCACTTCAAGCCCACTTCAAGCCCACTTCAAGCCCACTTCAAGCCCACTTTAAGCCCACTTTAAGCCCACTTTAAGCCCACTTTAAGCCCACTTCAAGCCCACTTCAAGCCCACTTCAAGCCCACTTCAAGCCCACTTCAAGCCCACTTTAAGCCCACTTTAAGCCCACTTTAAGCCCACTTTAAGCCCACTTTAAGCCCACTTCAAGCCCACTTCAAGCCCACTTCAAGCCCACTTTAAGCCCACTTCAAGCCCACTTCAAGCCCACTTCAAGCCCAATTTAAGCCCACTTCAAGCCCACTTCAAGCCCACTTCAAGCCCACTTCAAGCCCACTTCAAGCCCACTTCAAGCCCACTTCAAGCCCACTTCAAGCCCACTTCAAGCCCACTCCAAGCCCACTTCAAGCCCACTTCAAGCCCACTTTATGCCCACTTTATGCCCACTTCAAGCCCACTTTAAGCCCACTTTAAGCCCACTTCAAGCCCACTTCAAGCCCACTTCAAGCCCAATTTAAGCCCACTTCAAGCCCACTTCAAGCCCACTTCAAGCCCACTTCAAGCCCACTTCAAGCCCACTTCAAGCCCACTTCAAGCCCACTTCAAGCCCACTTCAAGCCCACTTCAAGCCCACTTCAAGCCCACTTCAAGCCCACTTCAAGCCCACTTCAAGCCCACTTCAAGCCCACTTCAAGCCCACTTCAAGCCCACTTCAAGCCCACTTTAAGCCCACTTTAAGCCCACTTTAAGCCCACTTTAAGCCCACTTCAAGCCCACTTCAAGCCCACTTCAAGCCCACTTCAAGCCCACTTCAAGCCCACTTTAAGCCCACTTTAAGCCCACTTTAAGCCCACTTTAAGCCCACTTTAAGCCCACTTCAAGCCCACTTCAAGCCCACTTCAAGCCCACTTTAAGCCCACTTCAAGCCCACTTCAAGCCACTTCAAGCCCAATTTAAGCCCACTTCAAGCCCACTTCAAGCCCACTTCAAGCCCACTTCAAGCCCACTTCAAGCCCACTTCAAGCCCACTTCAAGCCCACTTCAAGCCCACTTCAAGCCCACTTCAAGCCCACTTTAAGCCCACTTTAAGCCCACTTTAAGCCCACTTTAAGCCCACTTCAAGCCCACTTCAAGCCCACTTCAAGCCCACTTCAAGCCCACTTCAAGCCCACTTTAAGCCCACTTTAAGCCCACTTTAAGCCCACTTTAAGCCCACTTTAAGCCCACTTCAAGCCCACTTCAAGCCCACTTCAAGCCCACTTTAAGCCCACTTCAAGCCCACTTCAAGCCCACTTCAAGCCCAATTTAAGCCCACTTCAAGCCCACTTCAAGCCCACTTCAAGCCCACTTCAAGCCCACTTCAAGCCCACTTCAAGCCCACTTCAAGCCCACTTCAAGCCCACTTCAAGCCCACTCCAAGCCCACTTCAAGCCCACTTCAAGCCCACTTTATGCCCACTTTATGCCCACTTCAAGCCCACTTTAAGCCCACTTTAAGCCCACTTCAAGCCCACTTCAAGCCCACTTCAAGCCCAATTTAAGCCCACTTCAAGCCCACTTCAAGCCCACTTCAAGCCCACTTCAAGCCCACTTCAAGCTCACTTCAAGCCCACTTCAAGCCCACTTCAAGCCCACTTCAAGCCCACTTCAAGCCCACTTCAAGCCCACTTCAAGCCCACTTCAAGCCCACTTCAAGCCCACTTCAAGCCCACTTCAAGCCCACTTCAAGCCCACTTTAAGCCCACTTTAAGCCCACTTTAAGCCCACTTTAAGCCCACTTCAAGCCCACTTCAAGCCCACTTCAAGCCCACTTCAAGCCCACTTCAAGCCCACTTTAAGCCCACTTTAAGCCCACTTTAAGCCCACTTTAAGCCCACTTTAAGCCCACTTCAAGCCCACTTCAAGCCCACTTCAAGCCCACTTTAAGCCCACTTCAAGCCCACTTCAAGCCACTTCAAGCCCAATTTAAGCCCACTTCAAGCCCACTTCAAGCCCACTTCAAGCCCACTTCAAGCCCACTTCAAGCCCACTTCAAGCCCACTTCAAGCCCACTTCAAGCCCACTTCAAGCCCACTCCAAGCCCACTTCAAGCCCACTTCAAGCCCACTTTATGCCCACTTTATGCCCACTTCAAGCCCACTTTAAGCCCACTTTAAGCCCACTTCAAGCCCACTTCAAGCCCACTTCAAGCCCAATTTAAGCCCACTTCAAGCCCACTTCAAGCCCACTTCAAGCCCACTTCAAGCCCACTTCAAGCCCACTTCAAGCCCACTTCAAGCCCACTTCAAGCCCACTTCAAGCCCACTTCAAGCCCACTTCAAGCCCACTTCAAGCCCACTTCAAGCCCACTTCAAGCCCACTTCAAGCCCACTTCAAGCCCACTTTAAGCCCACTTTAAGCCCACTTTAAGCCCACTTCAAGCCCACTTCAAGCCCACTTCAAGCCCACTTCAAGCCCACTTCAAGCCCACTTTATGCCCACTTTATGCCCACTTCAAGCCTACTTTAAGCCCACTTTAAGCCCACTTCAAGCCCACTTCAAGCCCACTTCAAGCCCAATTTAAGCCCACTTCAAGCCCACTTCAAGCCCACTTCAAGCCCACTTCAAGCCCACTTCAAGCCCACTTCAAGCCCACTTCAAGCCCACTTCAAGCCCACTTGAAGCCCACTTCAAGCCCACTTCAAGCCCACTTCAAGCCCACTTCAAGCCCACTTCAAGCCCACTTCAAGCCCACTTTAAGCCCACTTTAAGCCCACTTTAAGCCCACTTCAAGCCCACTTCAAGCCCACTTCAAGCCCACTTCAAGCCCAATTTAAGCCCACTTCAAGCCCACTTCAAGCCCACTTCAAGCCCACTTCAAGCCCACTTCAAGCCCACTTCAAGCCCACTTCAAGCCCACTTCAAGCCCACTTCAAGCCCACTTCAAGCCCACTTCAAGCCCACTTCAAGCCCACTTCAAGCCCACTTCAAGCCCACTTCAAGCCCACTTTATGCCCACTTTATGCCCACTTCAAGCCCACTTTAAGCCCACTTTAAGCCCACTTCAAGCCCACTTCAAGCCCACTTCAAGCCCACTTCAAGCCCACTTCAAGCCCACTTCATGAATACATGCGAGAGAATGAAGTGCTTAAAGCCCACTCTGTGGATACCTGTGAGAGATTTAACTGTTTGAGAGTGGGCACGGTGAGCCCCCTCCTGAGCATGCCCTGCACTGTGGGGAAGCATGGTCTAACCCACCCATGCACCCTGCCTTAAAGCCCACCCTCCCACCCCACCATAACCTCACCTGAGCGAGAATGAACTGTTTCAATACAGGCACGGTGAGCCCGCGTGTGAGCATGCCCTGCACGGTGGGGAAGCGCGGGTCGTCCCACCCCCCGTCCACCTTACCCTTGAAGCCCACTCTAAGCCCACCCTACCCACTTTATGGATACCTGTGAGAGAATGAATTGCTTGAGAGCAGGCACGGTGAGCCCGCGTCTGAGCATGCCCTGCACGGTGGGAAAGCGCGGGTCGTCCCACCCGGTGACACGGCCGTTGTCCACGAACCACGCGAGCTTGCGCTTGGACAGCAGCGTGTACACGAAGTTGAGACGCGAGAAGTCCCACACCTCCACTCGCCGCAACCCCATGTCCTGCAGTGAGGGTAAGGTCAAGGCAAGGAGACGACAGGTGGAGATGAAAACGAGAGCGTGCAATCACAGAGCAGCGTGTACATAAAGTTGAGACGCAAAAAGTCCCACACCTCCACTCGCCGCAGCCCCATGTCCTGCAGTCAGTCAGGACAGAAGAGTGGCGTACAGAGGTTTGCAGGGGACAGAAAGTTCAGATGCTGGGAATATTTCCGGCGGGAGTAGAACGAAGACCACCAGCACTCCTCGCCCCTCACTACCTACCTCCTCCCACCCCTCCCCACCCCTCCACTTACCTCCTGCACGCGGTCGTACTGCTCGTTGCAGTCGTACCTCACTACCGCCACACTCCTCTCCCATCCCTCCCCATCCCTCCCCACCCCTCCACACACCTCCAGCACGCGGTAGTACTGCTCGTTGCGGTCGTGGTACTCGGAGGAGCGCAGCGCGTGGGTGACGCCCTCTATGCTGTCCACGTATGGGCACGCAAAGTCGTACGTGGGGTACGCCTTGTACTTGGTGCCCGTGCGCAGATGGGGCAGGCCGGATGCATCCACTCTGAAGTACACAGGGTCGCGCAGGGTCTTGTTCACTGCCTGGAGGGGTGGAGGGGGTGTAGGACGAAAGGCGGGAAGAAAGAGCAGAGGAGAGACGGGAAAAGGAGAAATAGAGTGAGAGTGAGTGGAGTTCGAGCTGACTGGGAAGGGAACAGAGTCTCCGTGTGTCCACAAATGGGCATGCAGAGTCGTCCGTGGGGTACGCCTGGTACTTGGTCCCTGTGCGCAGATGGGGCAACCCCGACGCATCCACTCTGAAGTATACCGGGTCGCGTAGGGTCTTGGTCACTGCATGGAATGGGAGAAGGGGAGACAGGAGGAAAGGGAAGGGAGAGAGAGACAGGGAGCGAGAGGAGAGAGAAGGGGAGGGGGGAAAGAGCGAGAGTGAGAGTGAGTGGAGCTGGAGGCACATCCCTCATGCCCCACTCGCCCCTCACTCCCATGCACCTGCATGAGGAGGAAGCTTCCCAATCGCCACGTGCACCTGCATGTCCCACTTGCCCGCAATCCCACACACACACACTGCCCGGCCTTCTCGTCCGCGCTGCCACCTACCTGCATGTCCCACGTGGCGCGCACAGCACACAGCATGCCTTGCCTCACACTGCATTGCAGCATCGCCGCCCGCAGCTAGACGCTTCTGACACACCTTTAAGGTGTGCTGCCTGCAAGGTGTGCTGTGCACGCCCTCTTACACACCTTTAACCGTTTCAACGCTCTTATCCTCCACACCTCACTTGAATGACACACCACTGCATGCCCCACTTGTCCACCATCCCACGAACCAGCTCGCCCGCCACCTACCCGCATGTCCCATTTGGCGCGCAGCGCACGCAGCACTATTTGTCCACATCGCTGCCTGCCCTTGAGCATCTCCGTCCACGGCTGCAGGTTGCGCTCCCCACTGTGCTGTGCTCTCTCTCCCACAGTCCCACCACCTTTACCCTTGTCAATGCTTTTAACCTCCTCAACTCCCTTCAACCACACGCACCTGCATGTCCCACTTGGCACGGACGCAGCACTCCTTGCCCACATCGCTGCCTTTCAGCATCTCCGCCCACAGCTCCAGGTTGCGCTCTATGCTGTGCCCCCGGCACGCGGACTCGGTGCCCACCATGCGCTCCTCCCTCATCTGCTCCTTGGGCGTGCTGTCCACGTACGCCTTGCCCTCGCGGATCAGCTTCTCACACATGGCCTGATGGGGAGGAGGAGGGAGGGAGGAGGGGAGACGGAGGAGGAGGGAGGTAAGGAAATGTAGGGGTGGGATGCGGAACAGGGGGAGAGAAAACAGACACTCAAGCCCACGGGAAGGGAGAAAACAGTGAAGGCAGGTGAGCTTCGTACAATCCACTAACAATGAACCAATCAGAGCAGTCAGGCGTGTGAGCGATCATCCCCACTGCTCACTCCCACCCCTGTGCCCCTACCAACTCACAATCAGCCCATCGAAGCAGTCCGAGGTGTGGGTGATCTTGTCCCACGTGAGCCCCAGACGCGCCATGTCATGTCCGCCAGAATGCTCTCCACTCCACAAAACAAACCCGTCCTTCCTTCACTCAACACAACACAACAATGCCCCGTGCCTCATGCCTTGCAGCACCAGCACCGGTAGTACCACCCGTCACCCGACGTACCACCTCACTCACAACAAACCCATCCATCACACCAGCATGGGCAGCCCTCCCCCCCCTATCCCCCTCCCCTCCCCCAGCCCCCCTTCTCCCCCCACCCCCACACCAACTCACAATGAGCCCATCGAAGTAATCAGACGTGTGGGTGATCGTGTCCCACGTGAGGCCCAACCTCGCCATATCCGCCAGAATGCTCTCCACGAATTCGTCCTTCTCCTTGCTGGGGTTCGTGTCGTCAAACCGCACCAGCATCTTCCCGCCGTACTTCTCCGCAAAGAACTGGTTCATCAGCGCCGCCTTCGCGTGCCCAATGTGCATAAACCCGCTGGGCTCAGGCGGAAACCGGGTTACCACCTGCCCGTAAACCGCCCCTGGAAGCTCCAGCTCCGCTGGCTGGTCTCCCCCCCCTCCCCCTCCCCCTGTGCTTCCGCCTGCCCCCCCTGCCGCCCCCCCACCGCCATCTCCCTTCTCCTCCTTCCCCTTGCCGCCGCCCTTGCCTGCTTCCTCGCCCGTGCCTGGCCCCTTCTTGGCTGCCGAGGCTAAGGCTTGGGCGGCCTTCCTGCTGAAGGGCAGCAGGCTCGGGGCGAGGTCGGGAGCTTCGGCGGAGACGGTGTTGAACCAGCGGATGAGGTTCGGGTACTTGGCTGTGGGCGACCGGCGTATGCTGTCCCACCGCTGCCCTGTGGCTGCCGTGTCACCGCGTGCACGGGAGTAACGGGAGGTAGGTACGTTGTTGGTACATACACAGAACACTTCAGTTCAGTGCACACACGCTGATTCACGCATATATATTGGTCAACAAACGATTTATGATTTTCGAACAGCAGGAACGATGCGCTGTGCAGTGCTGTGCTGCGCTGCGCTGCGCTGCGCTGCGCTGCGCTGCGCTGCGCCGTGCTGTGCTGTGCTGTGCTGCGCTGTGCTGTGGCGACGTCGGCGATGGAGAGATCATAGGAGACAAAGAAGGAAGGATATTCCAAGGGAAACCATGCCATGCTGCCATGCCAAGTGCGGTGTGCTGTGCTGCACGTACCAAAGAGGCCAGCATAGATGGCGACATCAGCGATGGAGAGGTCATAGGAGACAAAGAAGGTGCGCGCGGCGAGGTAGCTGTTGAGGTACGCGCACACACGCTCAAACTCGGAGCCGATGCCCAGAGTTGGTGCATAATCGACCACCTCGTCCACCTGGTGGGTGCAGTGCGGTGGGGAGGGGTGTGAGGTGGTGGGAAGCAACGGAGCCGTGCATGGGGGTGTGAGGTGGTGGGAAGAAGCAGGAGAGGTAGGCGTTGAGGCACGAGCAGATGCGTGTAAGTTGGTTAAGCGGCTGGGAGCCCACGCCGACGGTAGGTGCGCAGACAACCATGTCGTCGACCTAACGACGTGGGCTGTGGTGTTATGGAAAAGGCGAAACGTTTCAAGATGCAGCGGAAATTAACACCCTAATAGAGAAGGGCGACGAACGACGGAACCCGCAAGCGAGTCAGCGGCTAAGGTTGTACGCTGAGAGCATCGCAGCTGAGCCAGCTGGCATTCAGCAATTCGCCCCTGCTGACCCACCTGGCACGCGGCGATTGGATCTGAGCCGCCGTAGAAGCCCTCCCGCTGCGCGACGCGGCCGAAATAGCGGAGGATGGTGCCGGCCCCCCGTAGCTCTTCGCTGATTGGTTGCGAGGTGAGGCGACGCGGGGAGGGAGGAACGTAGGAGAAAAACGAGAGGAAAACGGACGAATGGGAGGGAGCAAGGGGTAACTTTTCAGTCGACTCAGAAGTCAGCTCGGTACAAAGGCATGACAATGACGGCGACGATGGAAGACATCGAAGGGTTTCACGCCTATCGGTACCGAGTCGATAGAAGAGGTTTCAGGGGGCAGATGTAACGCGATGCACGGGTTTTACGGAGATGGGATAAGCAAGGATCATGAGGGAATAGGGCGAAAGGGATGTCAAATGGTCCGGTAGACAAGGCGAAAGAAGCTTCTATTGTTCTGTGAAGCTTCGATGGGGTGAAGAATGAGGGAGACGAGGAGGCGTGCAGATGCTGGAGGCGGTAGGGCGGCCACGGAGGGCGAGGAAAAGGAGAGCGAGGCGAGGAGTGCGAGGAGATGGTCACAATCGGCTCAGACTGCGACAGACTATGCTATGACGGAAATTTGTAGGGGAATCTGACGGAATTGTAAGGGAAGTGGGTATTCTGGTCGAATGCGGAGCCAGGTGGCCGGATCTGCTCCAGAGAGGGTCTAAGGTAGCGAGGGAGCGTACCCCGAGGGGAGGTACAGCACGGGCGGGGTGCTTCCAGACAGGCTCGCGTCGACGGCGGCATCGATCTCGATCTTAGCAATAGCCGCCGCTCCGATCGCCGCCAGAGGCGCCGCGTCTTGCGGAAACCGGAGGACAGATTTATTAGCCATTTTGGCACGAGGGAGTGGCAGGCGAGAAAGGGTTTTGGAGAAACTTGCTCCGTTGTGGAGTTCCTCGGTCAGCTCCTTGCAACTCCCTCGGTCAGCTCCTTGCAACTCTTGTTACGTACTTCAGTCCTGGTTCAATTTAGATACGGTGTACTTGTGCCCTCTTATATAACTAGACCCATGAATCAAGCTAACCAATCATAGATATACATGTGCATGCTTCTTCATGGCCAGGACTATTAGAAATCTTAAAACTTTCTGAATCAGATTTACAGAATGTCAACCCTGTTCATGTACAATCACCTTTCTCTAACAGCCAACTTTCACGTCTGTGTGCTGCTCCACCCAAGGGCAGTGACGCCACCGTGCGTCTTCTAACGTGTGTGAGAATCGCAATCTCCCGCCCCTCACACCAGTCTTCCCAATCCACCGCCACCACACCGACATGCCTCCGCATCACGGCGGCGACTCATTGGGCCGTGGCAGGCTGCAGCGGCACTGGGAGAGCTGGTGGTTCCCAGGAAGCAGCGCCTTTTGAGGTGCCTTAAACGCCGACCTGCCCTCACACGTCATGCATCACCGCAGCGGCTTCAGTGGGCCATGGCAGGCAGGCAGCAGCAGCAGCAGCAGCAGCAGCAGCACTGGCAGCACCGGTTGTTCCCAGGAAGCGGCAACTTCTAAGCGCCTAAGAGTCCGACCTGCCCTCACACGTCGCACATCACCACAGCGGCTTCAGTGGGCCGTGGCAGGCAGCAGCAGCAGCAGCACTGGCAGCACCAGTGGTTCCCATCCCAGGAAGCAGCAACTTTGGCCTCACACATGATGCATCACAAGAGCAGCTGCAACGAGCCCTGGCAGGCAGCGTTGGTGCTGAGAGCGCTGGTGGATTCTGGAAAGTGGCGACTTTTCAGGCACCTCCGACACTGACCTGCATCACAGCAGCAGCTCCAGCGGGCTCTGGCAGGCAGCGTTCGCGCTGAGAGCACTGGTAATTTCCAGGAAGCGGCGGGCGGCAGTGTCACGGAGGGCTGGCTGCTCCGCCACGTGGCACAGCACTGCCTGCAGGTGGCGTGCGTCCCTCTCCCGGGCAAGCTCCTGAGGGGAAGGGGGGAGATAAGGCAAGGGAGAAAGGGAATCTTGAGTTGGCTAAGAAAGCATCCCTGGCACAGCACTGCCTGCAGGTGACGTGTCCCTCTCGGGGCGAGCTCCTGAGGGAGGAGCATTGCTCTGACCTGCCCGAGACGGACGGGGTGTGAGTGACGGGGTGTGAGTGACGGGGTGTGAGTGACGGGGTGTGACTGAGTGACGGGGTGTGAGTGACGGGGTGTGAGTGACGGGGTGTGAGTGACGGGGTGGGAGTGACGGGGTGTGAGTGACGGGGTGTGAGTGACGGGGTGTGAGTGACGGGGTGTGAGTGACGGGGTGTGAGTGACGGGGTGTGAGTGACGGGGTGTGAGTGACGGGGTGTGAGTGACGGGGTGTGAGTGACGGGGTGTGAGTGAGTGACGGGGTGTGAGTGACGGGGTGTGAGTGACGGGGTGTGAGTGACGGGGTGTGAGTGACGGGGTGGGAGTGACGGGGTGTGAGTGACGGGGTGTGAGTGACGGGGTGTGAGTGACGGGGTGTGAGTGACGGGGTGTGAGTGACGGGGTGTGAGTGACGGGGTGTGAGTGACGGGGTGTGAGTGACGGGGTGTGAGTGACGGGGTGTGAGTGACGGGGTGTGAGTGACGGGGTGTGAGTGACAGGGTGTGAGTGACGGGGTGTGAGTGACGGGGTGTGAGTGACGGGGTGTGAGTGACGGGGTGTGAGTGACGGGGTGTGAGTGACGGGGTGTGAGTGAGTGGCGGGGTGTGAGTGACGGGGTGTGAGTGACGGGGTGTGAGTGACGGGGTGTGAGTGACGGGGTGTGAGTGAGTGACGGGGTGTGAGTGACGGGGTGTGAGTGAGTGACGGGGTGTGAGTGACGAGGTGTGAGTGACGGGGTGTGAGTGACGGGGTGTGAGTGATGGGGTGTGAGTGACGGGGTGTGAGTGACGGGGTGTGAGTGACGGGGTGTGAGTGAGTGACGGGGTGTGAGTGACGCGGTGTGAGTGACGCGGTGTGAGTGACGGGGTGTGAGTGACGGGGTGTGACTGAGTGACGGGGTGTGAGTGACGGGGTGTGAGTGAGTGACAGGGTGTGAGTGACGAGGTGTGAGTGACGGGGTGTGAGTGACGGGGTGTGAGTGATGGGGTGTGAGTGACGGGGTGTGAGTGACGGGGTGTGAGTGACGGGGTGTGAGTGAGTGACGGGGTGTGAGTGACGGGGTGTGAGTGACGGGGTGTGAGTGACGGGGTGTGACTGAGTGACGGGGTGTGAGTGACGGGGTGTGACTGAGTGACGGGGTGTGAGTGACGGGGTGTGAGTGACGGGGTGTGAGTGACGGGGTGTGACTGATTGACGGGGTGTGAGTGACTGGGTGGGAGGGACGGGGTGTGGGTGACTGGGTAGGAGTGACGGGGTGGGAGTGACCGGGTGGGTGGCACTGACCTGCATGGTGTGGAAGGCGTTGGCTGCTTCCTCCAGCAGCGGCAGCACTGCAGGCACACTGCCTGGCACCGCTGCATGCAGTGGTGGTGGCAAGGGTGGTGGGTGCAGGGGTGGTGGGTGACAGAGGTTGTATGGTTAGCACATGGGGAACAGGACAATGAAGCTGTACATGGGTGCATGACAACATGGATGCATGACGACATGGATGCATGACGACATGGATGCATGACGACATGGATGCATGACGACATGGATGCATGACGACATGGGTGCATGGCGACATGGGTGCATGGCGACATGGGTGCATGACGACATGGGTGCATGACGACATGGGTGCATGACGACATGGGTGCATGACGACATGGATGCATGACGACATGGGTGCATGGCGACATGGGTGCATGGCGACATGGGTGCATGACGACATGGGTGCATGACGACATGGGTGCATGACGACATGGGTGCATGACGACATGGGTGCATGGCGACATGGGTGCATGGCGACATGGGTGCATGGCGACATGGGTGCATAGTGACTTATTCGTGAGGAGAAGAATGAATGACAACAAGCAGTGAACGCACCAGCTGGGGGAACCATGGCGAGGTGGCAGTGGGCAATGAGCATGAGGGTGCGACAGCGCATGGTGAGGCCTGACTGCCCCAGCAGCACCGGCAGACACACCCCATCCAGCAGCCACAGTGCTTGCAATGCGCACTCCCGCCCGCTGCTGCTCTCGCCATCCCCAGCAGCAGCGCCATCCCCCGCAGCAGCAGAGCCGCAGGCAGCAGGCGCCAGGGCGAGGGTGGCCTCAGCGGCAGTGAGGGTGGCGGTAGCTTGCAGCAGCAGTGCGTGCAGGCGGGCTGCCAGGGACGCGCATGCCAGGGCGTGTGGCAGGGCGGCCGCTGGTGACCCTGCTTTCTGGTAGGCATGGGCAACGAGAATGATGAGGAGAAAGAGGGGGGAAAGGGGTGAGTGGGGATGCGGGAGGGAGGCTTGAGAGAGTGCGCAGAGCAAGGGTGGAACGTGGAGGAGTTGGAGTCCAGGCCTAACTGCAGCGGGTTCACCAGTGAATCCTCTACATGATTACCATCCCTCTCCACCGTCCACCCCAGCATCGTCAGCAGCGTCAGGTGCCTGATCAGCAGCCAGGCGCCTCACGATCTCAGGTGTCTGATCAGGTGCCTCAGGTGCCACACCAGGTGCCTCAGGTGCCTCAACAGCAAGAATGTGGCTCACCAGGTGCTTCAGGTGGCTCACCAGGTGCTTCAGGTGGCTCACCAGGTGCTTCAGGTATCTCACCAGGTGCAGCTCCGCCATGAGCAGCAGGCAGCGCGCGTGGTACAGCTGGCGATTGTGGCGACAGCACGCTTTGAACAGTGCCTTGGCTGCTGATGCCGCCTGGAGAGAGGGGTTGTGTGGAGAGAGGGGGTGTGTGGAGAGAGGGGGTGTGTGGAGAGAGGGGGTGTGTGGAGAGAGGGGGTGTGTGGAGAGCAGAGGGAAAGAAGGTGAAAAGGTGAGAGAGAATGAGAGGAGAGGTTATGATAGGAGGCTGGGATAGGAGAAAGGTTAGGATGGCAAGAGAGGAAGGAAAAGAGACTGAAAAGGAGGAGGGGGGAGCATTGGAGGGGAAGAGACTGAAGTGGAGAAAGGGGGAGCAAGCGAGGGCATTTGTGGGAGGTGTGGAGGCGATAATTGGAGGAGGGGAAGAAGCAGCTGTCGGGGGTCAGGAGTGGCGGGAGAGAGGCAGAGAGAAGGCGAGTGAGGGAGCAGTGCAGACAGAATTAGATGAAGAGAGACGGGGTTAGGCGAAGAGACATAAGTGGCGCGTGGCAACGAGTGAGAGAGAGATGGGGCACCTGGGGAAAGCGCGAGGCAGCAATGAGGGTGTGCACGTGTTGGCATGCTGCCTCCAACTCCAAATCCACCTCCGTGCCCCCCTGCCCCCCGCCCTGCTCATCCCCATGTGAGAGGCCGTGGCGTGTCGCAATGGCTGCGAGCTGCTCGCACATGTGCAGTGCTTGGGATGTACGGCCACTGGAGGGGGGAGGGAAGGGGAGAGAGAGGGAGGGGCCGAGAGGGAGGGGGGGAGAGGGAGGGGGCGGGCGGGAAAGAGGGATAGGATGAGCAATGGGGCTGGGGGAGGTTGACGAGTGGAGGGTGGCATACAGGGCAATGGTGAGGGGAGCGAGAAGAGTGAAACAGGGAGGACGGCTGCTGGGATGCAGGGCCGTGCTGTGTGGGAGGGGTCGTGCTGTGTGGGAGGGGTCGTGCTGTGTGGGAGGGGTCGTGCTGTGTGGGGGGGGTCGTGCTGTGTGGGGGGGGTCGTGCTGTGTGGGGGGGGTCGTGCTGTGTGGGGGGGGTCGTGCTGTGTGGGGGGGGTCGTGCTGTGAGCGGCAGCAGGTGAGAGGGAAGTGGTGACATGACGCCTGAGCATCTGCCACACAGTGCGCCTCTCACTAGCGCCTGTGTTCTCGCCTGGTGGCTGGCTTACGTGGCAAGGCAGAGGTCGTGAGTCAGCTCCAGCTCAGCAATGCGGAGGGTGGGCGAGGAGGAGAGCAGCGGATGCTGCTGCAGGCGCCGCAGGAGAGGCAGGGCCGCTGGTGGGAAGAAAGGTGGGTGGGGAGGGGGAGGAGGAGGGGTCCAGAGGACAAGGGGATAGAAATCAAGGTGACTGGGGTGGGGTGCGCTTCTGACACTTGTAACAGGCCAATCACCTCTGCAAACACACACCAACACCCTTAGCCTTCGCACACCTGGGGCCCACCTGACGACCACCTGAGCCCACGTGAGGCCCACCTGAGGACCACCTGAGCTCACCTGAGCCCACCTGAGCCCACCTGAGCCCACCTGAGCCCACCTGAGCCCACCTGAGCCCACCTGAGGACCACTTGAGCTCACCTGAGCCCACTTGAGCCCACCTGAGCCCACTTGAGCCCACCTGAGCCCACCTGAGCCCACCTGCGGCACCAGAGTGTGCAGCTCTGTGTCGCAGCAGCTTGACTGCCGATGCTGCTAGGTCGTCCGCACTGCAGCGAACAAGACAGAGAGCAGTGGTTCAGTGAAAGTTGAGACGCGTCAAAAGAGGAGAGGTGAGTGGGATGTGGCACATCGCACCCAATCGCTGGGGGGGGAAGAGTTGAGTCCATTTGACGAGATACCGGCACATGGATGCAGCAAGAAAGGCGGGAAGATTCATGCTTACGTGGCAGCATCGGAGTAGCAGAGCAGATGAAGTGCCGAGCTGGCAGTGGCCATGGTGGGGCTGACGTGGAGGCATGGGACGTGAGAGGGATGGGAGGAGAGAGGAACAGATGTAGTAGGTGGCACAGAGCCGTGATATTGAGGAATAGGGAAAGCTATGCATGGCCTTGCATGTGGATAACCACACAATCCCCATTCACCCCTCATGCACCACTAACCCCCCCCCCCACCCTTCCTCCACCACCACTCACCCACCACCACTCACCAGCCATACACCTCCCATGCAGCGGCCCTCACGCCCTGCCCCGCCCCGACCAGCCGCACCACAGCAGCCGGGGGCGGGGCCAGCCTCCCCGCTGCTGCCGCCGCCGCCGCCGCTGCTGGCGCCGCCGAACCTGCAGGCTGTGGTCCGGCGAAGGTCTGGCCGGAGCTGAAGAGAGCCGCGGCGGTGGAGGCGGAGGAGAGAGGCGCTGAGAGGGCTAGGCTGGAGGAGAGGTTGAGAGCGGCTGCTGCTGCTGCTGCTGCCACTGCGGAGGAGGAAGAAGCGGAGGCTAGGTGAAGGGAGGGGAGAGAGAGAGGCGCGGAAGGGGGGAAGGCGAGGGGGGAGAGCGCAGAGGGTAGGAGGATGGCAGAGGTGCAGGCATCGTTGAATAGATGGGCGCCCAGACGCAGGTGCTGGGGGCAGTGGGGAGAGGGGAGACGGGGGAGCAGCAGTGAAGGTGGGCTGTAATGGGAGACTAGTTTTGAGGTGCCTCAAGGCGAGGGGGGAGAGCGCGGACAGAAGGAGAAAGGGGGGGAATGAAAAAGGGAGGGGAGGGGGGGGAATGGGAAAGGGGGGGGAGGGGGAGCTTGAGTGAGGGGGAAAGGGGAGGGAGAGGGGAAGCAGCAGTGGGAGGTTGGCCAGTGGGAGAGAAACGAGAATCGGGATGGGGTGGGAGTAGGGGGAAGCGGGGGAAAGTGGATGTGAGTGATTGAGTGGTTCTTGCCTCCCTGCTGCAGTGCAAAGCTGCCTCAACGCAAGGGACTCAAGATCAGCACTGGGCGGTGAATCGCTTGCTGCACTGCATCGTCACATCACATCACACCAAACCACACCACACCACACCACACCACACCACACCACACCACACCACACCGCATTGTATCACATTACATCGGATCACTGACCTACAACTATTATCCTTCCCTAACACTCTCACGCATCCCCATGAGCAACCCTTAGTCTTGTGGCTGTTGGAGAGATGGACTACAATCCCACATTGACACTTGTACTTACATCCTAGCTTAGCGTAAAACTAGTCTGCTGGGTTGCTAGTTCGACGCAAAACTCTCAACCAAAAGTGATCACGCAAAGACTCCCCCATCCCACCAATCGGAGGTTTCAACAACCACACTGGAGATACCCCCCATTCCCTTCCATCCCATTCCTTATGTGCGCAAGAGCACTTGCAAAGGCCATCTCATGCGCATCACTAAAGGCCACAAGAGCCTTGACCTCCACAGCCTGATGGCTCCAGCTAAGGTGCATCGTTGGCTGCCATTGAAGGGACAGATTATTGCAGGACGCTGAGACAAGCATGTATCAGTAGCACGGCCGGGGCAATCGGCAGCACCACGCAGGAAAGTTGCAAGAAGAGCAGCAGAGAGAAGCAAGGGCAGACGAGGAGAGAAGAGGAGGGAGTGGCTTACTTGGCAGACAAGGAGAGGGGACGGGTTGACGTCGGAGGGAGGAAGAGAGAGGGAGGTGGTGGCGTGGAGTGCTCTTCCGTCCGTTACGTGCTGCTCAGAGGAGTGGAAGGCGGTGCGGATGGGCGAGGGGACGGAGTGGAGAGGAAGGAAGGGGGGAAATAAGAGGAAGTAGGAGGAGCAGGGAAAGGGCATGCGAACAAAGAGATGAAATCACATCAACGTAAGTGTTACACGACTCGAGAAAAATGGTTACAGCATCAGCATAAAGACGGCGCAGAAGTCTTGCTGCTTCAATGCTGCAGCAATCACGTGTGATTCCGGATGCTGGCAAGGCAAGCCTTAACCCTCCCCTCAGCCCTGAGCCCTCCCGCAGCCCTCCAGCAGCCCTCCTCATTACCTCGACACTGTAGCGAGTGAGCAGCAGCTGGATGGCGAACACGAGAGATCAGTCATGCGCATGTGAGACAACCCTCAACCCTCCCCTCACCCTCAGCCCTGAGCTTTGAGCCCTCCAGCACCCCTCCTCATTACCTCCACGCTGTAGCGAGTGAGCAGCAGCTGGATGGCAAAGACATGAAGCTCAGTCAAGGGCATGTGAGATCCAATCCAAGGCACGCGAGGAACGAAACACAACCACATCAGTGCTGAGTACCCGTCACATTAGAATTCCCAAAAGCCCTCCAGCAGCCCTCCAGCAGCTCTCCTCATTACCTCGACGCTGTAGCGAGTGAGCAGCAGCTGGATGGCAAAGACGAGGTGCGGCAGTCTCAGCTGGGCGGCACGCATCAAGCAGCGCTGCAGCAGCGCTGAACCCCCAACCCCCAACCCTCAACCCTTTCCTCCCGGCAGCCCTCATTACCTCGACACTGTAGCGCGTGAGCAGCAGCTGGATGGAAAGGACGAGGCGCGGCAGTCTCAGCTGGGCGGCACGCACCAGGCAGCGCTGCAGCAGCGCACACACCTGCTGCTGCACGCCGCCCGCCACTGCCGCCCCCCCTCCCCCCTCCCCATCCACACCCCCATGCGCCCCCTCCCCTCGCCCCACCATCCCCTCGCCTCTCACCCGCCCCTTCTTCCCTCCGCTAACCCCGCCACCCCGCCACACTCCCCCCTCCAGCAGTGTTGGCTGCTGCAGCGAGCTGGGGGCTCCCAGCACTGCCAGCTGGCGGGGTGCGTCTGACGTGGCAGTCTGTGATAGGAGGTGGCAGATGGCTGTGAGGGCGTGCACCAAGCACACGTCATCACTCTCCTGTGTGAACACGCAGGGAACAAGATGATGCTTCAAGTCTGCGCAGCAGGTTCAACGCGGTGCAGGCAGTGCGAGTTGACTTTCGGGTCAACTCAGTTAACAGGCAGGGAATAAGATGATGCTTGAAGTCTGTGCATTGACTGCAGGTTCGACGCAGTGCGGGCACCGTGACTCGATCCGCCAGCAGGAGTGGAAACAAGGCGGGGCTCAGTAGTACTGCACTCACATCACATCACATCACATCACATCACATCACATCACATCACATCACATCACATCACATCACATCACATCACATCACATCACATCACATCACATCACATCACATCACATCACAACACGTCACATCACATCACAACACGTCACATCACATCTACTATCATACCATCCAATATGACTGCTCTTTGTTGCAACGTAGGAGTCAAGGCACACACATAAGATGCTGTCATGCCATACCAATGCACACCGTACTGCACCACTTCTGAGGCTGACAAAGAAAACTGCAACTTCTTTAGTCAACCTAGAAAACGCTACCACGATTGCTCACTCCACAGCGTACCAACCCATGCCTCACCTGCTGTGCCATGTGCACTGTCTCTCACCTGCTGTGCCATGTGCACTGTCTCTCACCTGCTGTGCCATGTGCACTGTCTCTCACCTGCTGTGCCATGTGCACTGTCTCTCACCTGCTGTGCCATGTGCACTGTCTCTCACCTGCTGTGCCATGTGCACTGTCTCTCACCTGCTGTGCCATGTGCACTGTCTCTCACCTGCTGTGCCATGTGCACTGTCTCGATCAGGGCCTGGCATGATGGGGTGCAGTGCAGGGGCCATGTGAACGGGCGGAGGGGATGAAATGAAGCAGGGCAGGATAAGAGTGACGACAGAGAATGAAGCAGGACGATGACGGCTGAGGCACGGCACAAGGTGAGGAGAGCAAAGACTGCAAAAGCTAGCCAAGCCAATGAATGAGCGCGAGCCATGCCTGGCTGGCGGGCCCATGTGGGGCTGCCCGTGGCCTGTCAGCTTGATCCACGTTGACATGGCATGGCATGAAGCGCGTGTCACTGACTGCCCAGGACAAGGCCCTTCACGGGTCAGGCCCAGCCTTTCAATAAGCGCTTCTACATGAGGACATATGCTCATGCAACCTGCTGCACGCGCCACACACCGACACACACACATACCCCCATGCCATGCTGCACGTGCCCGTATCGTGCATGCATGCTCCCCTCCACCAGCAGCCCTGTCCACCAGTTTGATGCTGCATGGACCACACACACGTACCCCCCTGGCATGCTGCACATACCCCCCTGGCGTGCTGCACATACCCCATGGCGTGCTGCACATACCCCCATGCCATGCTGCACATACCCCCATGCCATGCTGCACATACCCCCATGGCGTGCTGCACATGGCCGTATCGCGCATGCATGCCGCCCTCCACCAGCAGCCCTGCCTGGAACCGCCCCGCCCACCAGTCCGATGCTGCCCGCCCGCCCACCGCTGCCATGCCCGCACTGCGTGGTGGGGGGAGGAGAGGAGGGAAGAGGCAGGATTGATCGTGAGAGGGTGAGGGGGGTGGAGAAGGGGGCGGGAGGGGAGTCGGGGGAGAGGGTTTGGAAAGGGCATGCATACTGACTGAGATAACTCATGTTGGCGGTGATTTCACTGCAACCGTGCCCCACACATTTCCATACTCACACAGCCCTGCCCCTGCCTGCCTGCTCAACGCAGATGGGAACGGCCCGAGGAGTGTGGGTCACGTAGCAGTCGGGGCGGACCTCACTTCCAGCTCTGACTTCGGTTCTTGCTCTACCTCACCTCCTCAAAGATGATTTCTTTCAACTTGCTATGATTTCATTAGTATGATGTATAGTTGTTTGGGTGAATAGTTGTGTATGGAGGTTGAGGAGGAGGTGTGAGAGAGTAGGCCATCTGGTGCGCGGTTGGTATCAATACAACCACTCCCCCAGGCACTTATGACACATCTGATCCCATGATACTATCTATATGTGCTTGTGTATGTTATGCAGCGTGGAATGGAATCTCATTACTTGACATGTATGTATCACAACCGTTCGTACGCTTTGCCAATCGGAAAAGGTAGCAATAAGCACTACGGAGACGGAAAAAAAAACGGGAGAAAAAGGTGACTGTAGAAAGATTGGACTGAACCGTCACATCTGTGACGCCACACACCGTCCAACTCCAAGGCCCGTGACAAACATGCTCGCTCCTGCCCAGTCTTTATCCAACACAGAACCCGGCCGACCTAAATCTCAAGATGTCTGTGGTACTGCTCCAACACAAACCAGCTCACACCCAAATTGCAGGGATTAAGGTCCGGCACCACTTTGGCGCGTATCTGTGGTGCCGGACGAGCTCGCCCTCCAAAATCTGTGCTGACTTTTGAGTCGACTCAAACGTCACCTCGGAAAAAAAAGAACACCCAAGCACATCCCATGCACTCCATTCATGTGCCTGCACTGCATGCATCGTGGTTTTTATGCTACCCTGTGTAATGCGAGCACCTGTAGTCAAAGTAGCGGTGCAGTGAGGAGAGGGAGTCGGAGAGATGGCGCGAGGAGAGCGACTCGTGATGCTGCCATAGATGCACCTGATGCCATGCACACATGGGATGCCACGGGATTACATGCAATGCCATGCCACGCGTTGCCATTCAATGCCATGCCACGCGTTGCCATGCAATGCCATGCCACACGTTGCCATGCAATGCCATGCCACACGTTGCCATGCAATGTCATGCCACGCGTTGCCATGCAATGCCGTGCCACGCGTTGCCATGCAATGCCATGCCACACGTTGCCATGCAATGCCATGCCACACGTTGCCATGCAATGCCATGCCACGCGTTGCCATGCAATGCCATGCCACGCGTTGCCATGCAATGCCATGCCACACGTTGCCATGCAATGCCATGCCACACGTTGCCATGCAATGCCATGCCACACGTTGCCATGCAATGCCATGCCACACGTTGCCATGCAATGCCATGCCACACGTTGCCATGCAATGCCATGCCACACGTTGCCATGCAATGCCATGCCACACGTTGCCATGCAATGCCATGCCACACGTTGCCATGCAATGCCATGCCACACGTTGCCATGCAATGCCATGCCACACGTTGCCATGCAATGCCATGCCACACGTTGCCATGCAATGCCATGCCACACGTTGCCATGCAATGCCATGCCACACGTTGCCATGCAATGCCATGCCACACGTTGCCATGCAATGCCATGCCACACGTTGCCATGCAATGCCATGCCACACGTTGCCATGCAATGCCATGCCACACGTTGCCATGCAATGCCATGCCACACGTTGCCATGCAATGCCATGCCACACGTTGCCATGCAATGCCATGCCACACGTTGCCATGCAATGCCATGCCACACGTTGCCATGCAATGCCATGCCACACGTTGCCATGCAATGCCATGCCACACGTTGCCATGCAATGCCATGCCACACGTTGCCATGCAATGCCATGCCACACGTTGCCATGCAATGCCATGCCACACGTTGCCATGCAATGCCATGCCACACGTTGCCATGCAATGCCATGCCACACGTTGCCATGCAATGCCATGCCACACGTTGCCATGCAATGCCATGCCACACGTTGCCATGCAATGCCATGCCACACGTTGCCATGCAATGCCATGCCACACGTTGCCATGCAATGCCATGCCACACGTTGCCATGCAATGCCATGCCACACGTTGCCATGCAATGCCATGCCACACGTTGCCATGCAATGCCATGCCACACGTTGCCATGCAATGCCATGCCACACGTTGCCATGCAATGCCATGCCACACGTTGCCATGCAATGCCATGCCACACGTTGCCATGCAATGCCATGCCACACGTTGCCATGCAATGCCATGCCACACGTTGCCATGCAATGCCATGCCACACGTTGCCATGCAATGCCATGCCACACGTTGCCATGCAATGCCATGCCACACGTTGCCATGCAATGCCATGCCACACGTTGCCATGCAATGCCATGCCACACGTTGCCATGCAATGCCATGCCACACGTTGCCATGCAATGCCATGCCACACGTTGCCATGCAATGCCATGCCACACGTTGCCATGCAATGCCATGCCACACGTTGCCATGCAATGCCATGCCACACGTTGCCATGCAATGCCATGCCACACGTTGCCATGCAATGCCATGCCACACGTTGCCATGCAATGCCATGCCACACGTTGCCATGCAATGCCATGCCACACGTTGCCATGCAATGCCATGCCACACGTTGCCATGCAATGCCATGCCACACGTTGCCATGCAATGCCATGCCACACGTTGCCATGCAATGCCATGCCACACGTTGCCATGCAATGCCATGCCACACGTTGCCATGCAATGCCATGCCACACGTTGCCATGCAATGCCATGCCACACGTTGCCATGCAATGCCATGCCACACGTTGCCATGCAATGCCATGCCACACGTTGCCATGCAATGCCATGCCACACGTTGCCATGCAATGCCATGCCACACGTTGCCATGCAATGCCATGCCACACGTTGCCATGCAATGCCATGCCACACGTTGCCATGCAATGCCATGCCACACGTTGCCATGCAATGCCATGCCACACGTTGCCATGCAATGCCATGCCACACGTTGCCATGCAATGCCATGCCACACGTTGCCATGCAATGCCATGCCACACGTTGCCATGCAATGCCATGCCACACGTTGCCATGCAATGCCATGCCACACGTTGCCATGCAATGCCATGCCACACGTTGCCATGCAATGCCATGCCACACGTTGCCATGCAATGCCATGCCACACGTTGCCATGCAATGCCATGCCACACGTTGCCATGCAATGCCATGCCACACGTTGCCATGCAATGCCATGCCACACGTTGCCATGCAATGCCATGCCACACGTTGCCATGCAATGCCATGCCACACGTTGCCATGCAATGCCATGCCACACGTTGCCATGCAATGCCATGCCACACGTTGCCATGCAATGCCATGCCACACGTTGCCATGCAATGCCATGCCACACGTTGCCATGCAATGCCATGCCACACGTTGCCATGCAATGCCATGCCACACGTTGCCATGCAATGCCATGCCACACGTTGCCATGCAATGCCATGCCACACGTTGCCATGCAATGCCATGCCACACGTTGCCATGCAATGCCATGCCACACGTTGCCATGCAATGCCATGCCACACGTTGCCATGCAATGCCATGCCACACGTTGCCATGCAATGCCATGCCACACGTTGCCATGCAATGCCATGCCACACGTTGCCATGCAATGCCATGCCACACGTTGCCATGCAATGCCATGCCACACGTTGCCATGCAATGCCATGCCACACGTTGCCATGCAATGCCATGCCACACGTTGCCATGCAATGCCATGCCACACGTTGCCATGCAATGCCATGCCACACGTTGCCATGCAATGCCATGCCACACGTTGCCATGCAATGCCATGCCACACGTTGCCATGCAATGCCATGCCACACGTTGCCATGCAATGCCATGCCACACGTTGCCATGCAATGCCATGCCACACGTTGCCATGCAATGCCATGCCACACGTTGCCATGCAATGCCATGCCACACGTTGCCATGCAATGCCATGCCACACGTTGCCATGCAATGCCATGCCACACGTTGCCATGCAATGCCATGCCACACGTTGCCATGCAATGCCATGCCACACGTTGCCATGCAATGCCATGCCACACGTTGCCATGCAATGCCATGCCACACGTTGCCATGCAATGCCATGCCACACGTTGCCATGCAATGCCATGCCACACGTTGCCATGCAATGCCATGCCACACGTTGCCATGCAATGCCATGCCACACGTTGCCATGCAATGCCATGCCACACGTTGCCATGCAATGCCATGCCACACGTTGCCATGCAATGCCATGCCACACGTTGCCATGCAATGCCATGCCACACGTTGCCATGCAATGCCATGCCACACGTTGCCATGCAATGCCATGCCACACGTTGCCATGCAATGCCATGCCACACGTTGCCATGCAATGCCATGCCACACGTTGCCATGCAATGCCATGCCACACGTTGCCATGCAATGCCATGCCACACGTTGCCATGCAATGCCATGCCACACGTTGCCATGCAATGCCATGCCACACGTTGCCATGCAATGCCATGCCACACGTTGCCATGCAATGCCATGCCACACGTTGCCATGCAATGCCATGCCACACGTTGCCATGCAATGCCATGCCACACGTTGCCATGCAATGCCATGCCACACGTTGCCATGCAATGCCATGCCACACGTTGCCATGCAATGCCATGCCACACGTTGCCATGCAATGCCATGCCACACGTTGCCATGCAATGCCATGCCACACGTTGCCATGCAATGCCATGCCACACGTTGCCATGCAATGCCATGCCACACGTTGCCATGCAATGCCATGCCACACGTTGCCATGCAATGCCATGCCACACGTTGCCATGCAATGCCATGCCACACGTTGCCATGCAATGCCATGCCACACGTTGCCATGCAATGCCATGCCACACGTTGCCATGCAATGCCATGCCACACGTTGCCATGCAATGCCATGCCACACGTTGCCATGCAATGCCATGCCACACGTTGCCATGCAATGCCATGCCACACGTTGCCATGCAATGCCATGCCACACGTTGCCATGCAATGCCATGCCACACGTTGCCATGCAATGCCATGCCACACGTTGCCATGCAATGCCATGCCACACGTTGCCATGCAATGCCATGCCACACGTTGCCATGCAATGCCATGCCACACGTTGCCATGCAATGCCATGCCACACGTTGCCATGCAATGCCATGCCACACGTTGCCATGCAATGCCATGCCACACGTTGCCATGCAATGCCATGCCACACGTTGCCATGCAATGCCATGCCACACGTTGCCATGCAATGCCATGCCACACGTTGCCATGCAATGCCATGCCACACGTTGCCATGCAATGCCATGCCACACGTTGCCATGCAATGCCATGCCACACGTTGCCATGCAATGCCATGCCACACGTTGCCATGCAATGCCATGCCACACGTTGCCATGCAATGCCATGCCACACGTTGCCATGCAATGCCATGCCACACGTTGCCATGCAATGCCATGCCACACGTTGCCATGCAATGCCATGCCACACGTTGCCATGCAATGCCATGCCACACGTTGCCATGCAATGCCATGCCACACGTTGCCATGCAATGCCATGCCACACGTTGCCATGCAATGCCATGCCACACGTTGCCATGCAATGCCATGCCACACGTTGCCATGCAATGCCATGCCACACGTTGCCATGCAATGCCATGCCACACGTTGCCATGCAATGCCATGCCACACGTTGCCATGCAATGCCATGCCACACGTTGCCATGCAATGCCATGCCACACGTTGCCATGCAATGCCATGCCACACGTTGCCATGCAATGCCATGCCACACGTTGCCATGCAATGCCATGCCACACGTTGCCATGCAATGCCATGCCACACGTTGCCATGCAATGCCATGCCACACGTTGCCATGCAATGCCATGCCACACGTTGCCATGCAATGCCATGCCACACGTTGCCATGCAATGCCATGCCACACGTTGCCATGCAATGCCATGCCACACGTTGCCATGCAATGCCATGCCACACGTTGCCATGCAATGCCATGCCACACGTTGCCATGCAATGCCATGCCACACGTTGCCATGCAATGCCATGCCACACGTTGCCATGCAATGCCATGCCACACGTTGCCATGCAATGCCATGCCACACGTTGCCATGCAATGCCATGCCACACGTTGCCATGCAATGCCATGCCACACGTTGCCATGCAATGCCATGCCACACGTTGCCATGCAATGCCATGCCACACGTTGCCATGCAATGCCATGCCATGCCACACGTTGCCATGCAATGCCATGCCACACGTTGCCATGCAATGCCATGCCACACGTTGCCATGCAATGCCATGCCACACGTTGCCATGCAATGCCATGCCACACGTTGCCATGCAATGCCATGCCACACGTTGCCATGCAATGCCATGCCACACGTTGCCATGCAATGCCATGCCACACGTTGCCATGCAATGCCATGCCACACGTTGCCATGCAATGCCATGCCACACGTTGCCATGCAATGCCATGCCACACGTTGCCATGCAATGCCATGCCACACGTTGCCATGCAATGCCATGCCACACGTTGCCATGCAATGCCATGCCACACGTTGCCATGCAATGCCATGCCACACGTTGCCATGCAATGCCATGCCACACGTTGCCATGCAATGCCATGCCACACGTTGCCATGCAATGCCATGCCACACGTTGCCATGCAATGCCATGCCACACGTTGCCATGCAATGCCATGCCACACGTTGCCATGCAATGCCATGCCACACGTTGCCATGCAATGCCATGCCACACGTTGCCATGCAATGCCATGCCACACGTTGCCATGCAATGCCATGCCACACGTTGCCATGCAATGCCATGCCACACGTTGCCATGCAATGCCATGCCACACGTTGCCATGCAATGCCATGCCACACGTTGCCATGCAATGCCATGCCACACGTTGCCATGCAATGCCATGCCACACGTTGCCATGCAATGCCATGCCACACGTTGCCATGCAATGCCATGCCACACGTTGCCATGCAATGCCATGCCACACGTTGCCATGCAATGCCATGCCACACGTTGCCATGCAATGCCATGCCACACGTTGCCATGCAATGCCATGCCACACGTTGCCATGCAATGCCATGCCACACGTTGCCATGCAATGCCATGCCACACGTTGCCATGCAATGCCATGCCACACGTTGCCATGCAATGCCATGCCACACGTTGCCATGCAATGCCATGCCACACGTTGCCATGCAATGCCATGCCACACGTTGCCATGCAATGCCATGCCACACGTTGCCATGCAATGCCATGCCACACGTTGCCATGCAATGCCATGCCACACGTTGCCATGCAATGCCATGCCACACGTTGCCATGCAATGCCATGCCACACGTTGCCATGCAATGCCATGCCACACGTTGCCATGCAATGCCATGCCACACGTTGCCATGCAATGCCATGCCACACGTTGCCATGCAATGCCATGCCACACGTTGCCATGCAATGCCATGCCACACGTTGCCATGCAATGCCATGCCACACGTTGCCATGCAGGAAGTGGTGCATTCGGGGACAGATGGGATCGAGATTAGAGTTAGAGAGCAGCAGATAAGAGAGTTTTGGTCCAGAGCTGCTACGTAAAACATAACACTATTCATCAAGTCATGCATTCGATTCAACCAGCCACCATGCACCTTTGGCGGCAGGTCATGTGCATGAGCCAGTGCGCTCTGGTCGTCCACATGTGCATCATCCATTGTGCACAATGGACGAAAGGGGAGGCTGCTGTCCTTGCTGTCCTCTCCTTGCTGTCCTTGCTCAGTTCTTGGGCCCGCTGCTGCTGCCCCTCGTCTGTTGCGCACACGGGATGGTGACACGGGCAGACGGAGGAGAGAGGGGCAAACCCCGTGCAATGCAACCCGAGCTGGACAGGTTTGATTTTAGGGCTGAAGGAGGCAGGTTGGATGATTTTTGCAAGCTCTAACTTCCATCCGAGCCCATCCCTCCCCCATCCCAACGAACTTAGGTAAGAAACTTAAACGCAAAAACGAAGTTCAACAAAACATAGAAATCAGAACAGATGATGGGGGTCCAAACCCAAGAACACAGTGCTCACTCTATCCCCACTACCGCGCAGCCTCTTCCCTCACCTGCTAGCCTCCTCTATCCGCCCATCAAGGTACTCCGCCAGCCGCCCTGCCTCCCGCAGAAACTGCTTCTGCATGCCGCCGCCTCCCCTCTGCTTCCGCCCCCCTCTTTCCCGTCCACTCTCCCGCCCCTCCTCCCCCATCATCCCTCCACTGCCCCTTCTCCCACCTCCTCCCCCCCACAAGCCCCCATCATCCCCCCCAGAAGGCATCAGCGCATCATCCCCCTGCCCTCCCCCTCTCCCCCCTCGCCCCAGCACCTCCCGCTCGAACTCCTCCTCCCATGCTGTCCTGTCCTCTTCCACCCTCGCCCCCGCCCCTGCCCCAGTCCCTCCACCGTCCCACATCCCCCTTTCTGCTGCTTCCCGGCTGCCCTCACGCGTGCCTTCATGGGTCGTTCTTCTGCGGTGTGTGACAGTATCGAAGGACAGAGGCTGTTGGGCAACGCAGGGTTCCCCTCCCTCCACGCCCACACTTGCACCCCCATCCACTCCCACACCCACCCCCACGTCTACCTCCATTTCCTCCCCTGCATCCCCCCTCTCCTCCCCTAACCCCCACTCCCCATGTGATGCCTCCCCTGTGCTCTCCCGCCTGCCCGCCTGCTCATCCATGCTGCCTGTGCTGCCTGTGCTGCGAGAGCTGCCAGAGAAGCCCGCGTGGTGGAGGTATTCGTGGATGTCGCCCAGCACATTGCACACCGCCTGCCATGCGCCATGCATGCCATGCATGCCATGTGTCACGAACGGGAAGAATGGTGCTTAGGTCATGTGCATCTGTGGAATGAAGTGCATGTGCGCATGCGTGCATGTGAGCATGCGCGCATGCGGGCACGTGTGCGTGTGTGCATGTGTGCATGCGGGCACGTGTGCATGCGCGCATGTGCGCATGAGTGCATGTGCGGATGCGGGCGCGTGTGCATGTGTGCATGCGAGCATGTATGCACATGTGCATGTGCACATGTGTTCGTGGGTGTGCATACATGCGCATGTGTGTGCATGTGCACATGTGTTCATGGGTGTGCATACATGCGCATGTGTGTGCATGTGCGCATGTGTTCATGGGTGTGCATACATGCGCATGTGTGTGCATGTGCGCATGTGTTCATGGGTGTGCATACATGCGCATGTGTGTGCATGTGCACATGTGTTCATGGGTGTGCATACATGCGCATGTGTGTGCATGTGCACATGTGTTCATGGGTGTGCATACATGCGCATGTGTGTGCATGTGCACATGTGTTCATGGGTGTGCATACATGCGCATGTGTGTGCATGTGCACATGTGTTCATGGGTGTGCATACATGCGCATGTGTGTGCATGTGCACATGTGTTCATGGGTGTGCATACATGCGCATGTGTGTGCATGCGCACATGTGAGCACCTGGAAGGGCAGGTGGTGGAAGGAGAGCAACAGCGAGCGAAGGAAGAGGCCGAGCACACGAGTGCATGTATGCACGTGCACATGTGCATGAGTGCACGGATGCATGGGTGCATGGGTGCATGTGTGCATGGGTGCATGGGTGCATGTGTGCATGGGTGCATGGGTGCATGGGTGCATGTGAGCACCTGGAAGGGCAGGTGGTGGAAGGAGAGCAACAGCGAGCGCAGGAAGAGGCCGAGGGCACTGCCACGGGTGACAGGCTGGCAGTCGGGCGACGCTGCTGCTGCAGCCCGGTGGCGCGGAGGGGAGGTGCTGCGCGCCACACACGCTGCAACACGGTCGTGAGGGGGACAGGTGGGGAGAGGTGGGGCGGGGGACAGGGCAAGCATGGGTTTGAAGGCGCCTCAAAATGCTGCCCGGTGGCGCTGAGGGGACGTGCTGCGCGCCGCACCACACACGCTGCAACACGGTCGTTAAAGGGGGGAGGTTGCGCGGGAACGGCAGGCAGGCATGAGAGGAAATGAGTGGTGGAGTGGGATGCAAGGAACGGGGAGAAGATTAAGAGGACAGGGAAGGAGGGGAAGAGGTGACAAAGAAACACTCCTCGTGTCTGCCTGCTTGCTTGCTTGCTGAGTAGTGGAGGGATAATTGCAGTATTCATAAACATTGCGTGCAACCAATGTCCATGTGGAGGACTAGGGCACATAGAACAGACCTCATGCATATGTTCATGAGTGCACATGTCCATGAGTGCACATGTCCATGCGTGCAGCTATCCATGCATGTAAAGTGGACATTCAAACGCACCACTCACAGTGCCCCACATACAGTGCACCACTCACAGTGCCCCACTCACAGTGCCCCACTCACAGTGCCCCACTCACAGTGCCCCACTCACAGTGCGCCACTCACAGTGCCCCACTCACAGTGCCCCACTCACAGTGCCCCACTCACAGTGCCCCACTCACAGTGCCCCACTCACAGTGCCCCACTCACAGTGCCCCACTCACAGTGCCCCACTCACAGTGCCCCACTCACAGTGCGCCACTCACAGTGCGCCACTCACAGTGCGCCACTCACAGTGCAGGGAGGCAAAGAGGGAGAAGAGGTCATCTGGGGACTGCAGCGCCTGCACTGCTGAGTCGACTCAAAAATCAGAAGTCGCCTCTTGATTTGAATCAAAAGGCCTCCACTGAACTCACAGTGCAGGGAGGCAAAGAGGGAAAAGAGGTCATCTGGTGACTGCAGCGCCTGCAGCTGCTGCACCAGCACCCCCCCCACATCACCCCACCCCTCCTCCCCTTCCTCCACTCCCTCCGCCTCTGCATTCCTGCCCCGCTCTCCCCTTTCTCCGTGCCCCCCCCTGCCTGCCTCCGCCTCTCCCCCACCCCTTCCCTCCTTCACCTCCGCTGCCAGTCGCAGCAGCAGCGCGCTCAGAGATGGCTCGTGCCAGGAGTTCACTGCCTGTGTGGGGTATGGTGTTGTTGGGGGGTGATGGGGGTTGTTGGGGGGTGATGGGGGCGTTGTTGGTGTGAGTGAGGGGTGATGAGGGATGGAGTGGATTTCAGAGAGTTAAGATACGAGGAGACGAATGGAGCCGGCAGGGAGAACGGGGCGAGGAGGGGCGAGGAGCAACAGTGCCACTGGCGGCAATGATGCAGCGAGGGGGGTGGTTGCGGCGGGGGAAGCTGGAAACGGGTGGTGTAGAGGCAATGAGATAAAGGACAAAGGAAAGGACAGGATGGGCAGGGGAAGGGGGGCGTTGTGCAGGACAGGAGGAGCAGACAGCAACAGATAGAAGGGGCGGAATATGAGGATAGGCTGAGTCCGTTACCACACCTCCACTCCCCCAACCTGCCACTGCCACCGGTCAGCTTGCTGCCTCCTGCCTGACATTTGGAGCGGATGATGACAGTGTGCATGCATGACATGGATGCATGCATGCATGCATGCTGCCCTCTCCTGCCTGACTTGTGTCCTCTCGCCCATCAGCATCTGCTGCCACACTGCACCGTTCCCAGCACCGTTGAACCCCTGCCCTCCTTTTGCTCCGCCCCACCCTCTGTCTTCACTCTCCCCCCACTCCCCTCCACCGCGCTGCCTCTGCGCTGCCTCTGCGCTGCCACAGCACCGAGCATTCCCCTGCAGCAGCTACCGCCGCCCACAGAACAGCAACTTGCTTGCCCGCAAAAAGCGCCTCTTCCCCCCAGCAGCGAGCATATCTTCCCCAGCGGCGCAACTCAACCGCGCACCTTTCCCCCCAAGCAACGCACCTCCCCCCACCTCCATCAGCGCACCTCTTCCCCCCCGAGCGCCTCACCCTGGTCTCGCGCAGCAGGAAGAGCGCCAGCCGCTGCCGCACGCAGCGGGGCGGCGGGGAGGGCGGGGCGGCACGCGCGCGGAGTTCGTCAGCCAGCCCGGGCTCGGCGGAGTGCGGCGGGCCCGCGAGGAGGCGCAGAAGCAGCGCGAGCGCCACTCGGTGCGGCGTCACGCTCGCCGCGGACGTCGCGACGGCGGGGGGCGCGTCGCGAGGCGGTGCGGCGGAAGGCATGGCGACGCGTGGACCCGACGAGCACGTTGCCGCGCGCCGCGTGGGCGACTCGCCGCGGAGGAATGTCGCGGTGATGCGCGCAGAGCTGGCTGCGACGAAGGCGCTATCGTGTCGCGAGGGATGCGAAATATGATCGACGCACGAAGTTCGAGCGAGTGGTTCAACTATAGATTCGACCTGCTTTGCTAGCTCCTAACGAAATTCGCACGACAATAGCCGTGATCTTGCCAAAGGTTCCGCTATAACCATCGCACTATTCATCCAATTCGCAAATTGACCTGCAAAACGACCCCACGACAGACTGGACCTCGTTTTGCACTACCCTAGGGCGTGTAACATTGTTGCGACCGAGGCCAAAATCCGACCATTTGGTCGTTGTAGTCGACTTGCGAGGGTTGTGGTAACAAACACCTGGGGCGTCTGCTGTAAATTCATAAGACCATGGTTGTTGTTGAGGTCAATTTACAGGTTTGGGGTTTCGGGTTGTTCCTCGGAATTGTTCGCGACACTATGAAGAGTCACCAGGTTACGGTGCGAAACCAGTCGTGCACATCACGAAAGGTGACCAAACATGTTGCGACAGGGCAGGGCTGTTTTTGTGCCCAATTTGGTCGCACGTATGGTTTTTCACCTGGGGCGATTCCCGAGATGGTCATTTATGCGATCGTTTTCCCAGAAAATCTCGCATTTATCGCCATCGTGTTACCCACTTCGCTTCGCTTGACCCAACCAAATGGTCGGATTTCGGCCTCGATCGCTACAATGTTACACGCCCAAGAACTCCAGCTTCTCTGCCTCGCGAAGGCTCATCCACCGGTATGGCAGGCTTGGTTGGATGAAGAATGATTGGGGATAGGCAGCCCGCACAAACCTCAAAAGACATGGCGAAAAAAAGGTAACATTTCGCTTGTTCGAATGAGAGTGTCGTTCGAACAGCGAGGTGAACGCCCTAAGTGTCATCCTCGGAAAGTAGGAAGAGCGGCTCTCATCATGAGATTTTCGAGGGATGATGTAAGCTTTTTCTCCGCCGAGGTCCCTGTCTTTCCGAAAACGCCTGGCTGTCTTTCTGGGATGATGAAAGGGTCCGGAAGCTCGGCATCCTCGTCTCGTCCTGGGAGTTGGGACGAGTAGAAAGTGGGCGCAAAGCTGGCGCAAGGCTGCGCCGAGTAGGACATCCCCCACCGCCCCTTGTGCACTGCTGCAACTGCCCGTTTCGTTCCGGTCCTGCCCGAGTTTCGAATGTTTGGAGTTTTGAATTGTGATGTCGCGAATTCGCGGCCATCGTCGATGTAACCACTTCGACCGGCCACTGACGCTGTCCGCTCGCCCGACCGGTTGCGACCTAACTGTCTGCGCGACGTCGCACGACTCAGAATCGGGGATCCGATATTGGACGACTCCCGTTTCAGGACGGTGACTTGATAATTGACGTGCAACCTAGATGGAATTGCCGCTCCTTTCCTACACCTGTTTCGGGAAATACTAGTACTCGATGCTTAGGTACGAACGAGACATAATCACGGCTTCTGCGTGAAAGCACATCACCCCATCACGCTACTTCACCGTCCATTCGTTTTCATCCACAATCGACGCACATTCCCGCCCGCTCGACCGCTACATAACGAATAATGCGAGTCATATGTTATTGGTTGATAGTGTGGGCCAATAATATTTTTAGGGTTAGAACACTTTTCAGAAATGGTGAAGAAAAATCACTATAAATGATAAAGAGTGTGTTCTCAATGTTCCCGCCCTGACTCAACCAATGTCCGTCGATGTCAGAGTCTGACCTCTGCAACACCACTGCTCTGCATCCATCGCGCGTCCTACCTCTCTGCTGGCTCCCAATCAACACATCAGAATCTGGCGGGAGCGAACAGATTTGCAGAGGGGCGACCATTGCAGTTCTGCTCGACGCGATGCGTGGGGAATGGGCGATTTTGATCTACATCCCGCAGTTTTGATCATTGTTCTCGTTTGTTTCGTCTCTCGTCGTCTGTCGTCGTTTCCGTTCAACATGCATCATTGCCCATTGATTGCGCGGCATTTGACATTGACTTTCTCGTCTGCACATTTCTAGTGGATTCACGACTCAAAGGTGCATGTACTGATGGGAAATCGTTCGTCAGACTGAATGTTTGTAATCCCTAGATTAGAAGTCAAGGTGTGGTCTACAGAATTGCAGACGTCGATGTTTTTTGAAGGGGCGGGCTTAGTCTAGAGTAGTGGTAGACTAGAGCTCCCTTTCAACTTTAGTAGAGTTTCTGACTTTGCCACAGGTGCACGTTTATTCTAGAAAATCTAGCACAGCGTAAACTGTCGACCATTTTCTATGTCGCCCATTCCCTTCTGATTCTACAATATAATAATGGAGCAGCATCACGAAGCTGGTTGGGTAAACGCTTCCCAACCAGACAATGAACCGGCAGATGTTAACGACGAGGATCTGCCAACCGTACCCGAAGGTCTCGACCTTACGGGCGAGGCTCATCATGAGGAGTACTTCGAACCAGTCGAGGTCGAAGACGTCGAGCAAGACATTTTCGCAGATGGAAGGCAAGCTGTCGAGGAGGAGGACAAGGAGAACGAGCGATTTTGCAACGCTCCTGAGGAGCTAGGAGCTACGGGCGTTGAGCCAGGATACGCATGGGACTTCAATGAGCCGCCGACTTGCAACAGAGTCCAAGGAGAGCACCCTGCGGAAGTTGATCTATCTGGCGAAGATGGGGCAAGCGGGTCTTCCTCGAGTGGGTCGCCAGCATCAGACAGTGGGCGTTGGGGTCCGACAACGGATTTTCGGCAGCAGAAACCGCAGGATGAGTGGAGGAACCCTTTCAACATCCCAGCATCGGACATCGGGCATAGGGGTCCGACAACGGATTTTCGGCAACAGAATCCGCAGGACGAGCGCAGCAACCCTGTCAACAACCCAGCATCAGACAGTGGGTGCAGAGGTCAGACGGATACGCGCCGTCCGAATCCGCAGGTCGAGCGGACGGACCCTTTCGACCGCCCTCTTGCACCCGAGGTCGAACGTGAAGAGGGAGGGACGGATACGCGCCGGTGCTTGGACTGGGATCCAGAACAGCTTGTACCTGGTATCCGCCCTGAAATTCCAATGCCACGAGAGAAGAAGTTAGCAATCACTCGAGCATGGAAGCATATTATTGCAAGGAAGGATCAAACGAACAATTGCTACGTAGGTTGCTAGTGGTACTACAAGAGATGGGTCTTCCTGCTGATGGCGCAGTTGCTCGATGTTCCAGAAGAGGAGAGGCTGGACCCCGAAAAACCGGACGAAATTGGGATCTTTCTGGGCAACGACAAGGGACAGGGCTGGGACGGCGTCCCGAAGAACGAATCCCATCTGCACGGGCCGAAGCTGACTTTGTGGCGGCTTTGCCGTTTCATGGAGTACCTGTTCACCGAGACAGAGGACCAAGTGAAGAAAATGCGGGAAGGTCGTCAGATGTATGCGGGTAAAGTGCCGAAGGCTTGCACAGCTTCCATGTTGAAGGCGAAGATCAACGCGATGAGTTGTCTTGGAGAAATCGAAGGACGCCTTTTCAACTACTCTACCTCTCGTGTGTCGGACATGATGAGGGAGGCAAGGGGTTTGCTTCGAATCAAGCTCCGCAACCTCAGCAACAAGCAGGTCGAGTGAGTGAAGTAGACGATTATTGGGTTCCTTTGGGTTACTAAGACCCTAACATGTTTGTTTCTGTTTGTTGCAGCGAGGGGTTTGAACAGACGCGTGGTTCTCTGAACAACGTGTACACGGCAGCGCAGTACAGGGATCTGTTTCACAAGGTTCTGCCCGAATGGAGGACAACATACTTCAAGGCCAACGTGCAGTTCCTATCCGAGGGATTGTGGAGGGTTCTGGCAGTGTCCGTCATGATCATGCTAGCGCATCAGATGCTGGGCAGAGGGTGCAGTATCCGCTATCTGCGATTTGCCAACATGTACGTCCACGAGACTCGCAGCACTACTCTCCACGACGAGTTTCTAGACCTTCCAGTCATGGTGTTCGTTTCTCGACGGACGAAGAACAATCCCACGAACCGTTTGTCCCACCAGTATGTTGCCAGGCACATCGACTACAGGCGGTGCGGCTACGGTGGTGTCTTTCTGTGGATCCATTTCGTGTACGACCTTGTCGAGGTCCGATACAAGAAAAAACTAATTTCTCCGTTGAAGTTTGACAAGAACACGGACTGGTTCAAGAAACACATCTTCTTCCCGATCAACAAGCACACCGACAGATCACCCCAAGAGCAGGACCCGATAGAATACAAGACGCACAACAATTGGATCGGCTGGGTGATGACTAAGGCGGGATGGTCGTCGAGCAAAGTGACCCACATCTTCCGCAGGTCCGGGGCGCAGGGTCTCAGCGACAACCGGTGCCCAGACGCCCTCATTGCAAAGCTGGGAGGATGGGAGCAGGGAGAGATGCGGAGGTCATACCTGTTGGGCGTGCCTTTTGAGCCGGTGCTTTTGATGGCGGGCTTTTCTGGTGATCCCGGGGACTACTACATCGGTAGAGCACATGCGAAGCTAGAGAAAGATCACGAATGGGAAGAACATCAAGGATTATTCCGAAAGCACATCTACCCGTGGCTCGAAGAGGAGATGGCCAAGGTACGTCATCAGAGCTGGCTTTTTCGTTTTCTGGGTTTGGTCTCTTCGTCTTTTTGTTGGGCGTTTCGCAGGTCGAAAAGTTCAACAAAGACAAGAAATCGCACGAGAAAAAGCTATCTGCATAGCAGTTTTTGAAGGCCCTCCATGTCCATGGGCGCTCTACGGTTGCTCAGGACCTTGCGATGTTTTGGATATTTTGCGAGAACCCCAAGTGCAAGAGCAAGTTCACTGGTGAAGGGCGTGCGTGCAATTGTACCCGTCATCCATACGCTGAGATCTCGCCTCTCTGTAAGGAGCCCTTGTTTCAAAAATGGGCCAACATTGTCGCGAACATGGACGAAGAAGGTCGTCGTCTT